TGTTAGAATTAATTCATCGACTGACAGAGGATATCAAACTGAGGGCTAAATTAAACGGCTTGAATGTCCTATAATTTTCGTTCAACCCAACTGTCAAAGTTTTACATTCACTCAGGAAGGAAAAAGTAACGAAAAAATAACACCTGATCGCATCGGAATTCGTATGACTCAGGTCAGCGACAGCAAGCATCGTTACTGTTGCTTGAACGCAGGAACTGTGCAAAGCTTTGGCCGCTTACGCATGTCCCAGTCTCATTCTTCTGACACATGCCATCTATGTCATCGTCATCGCCGTGGCCATTTACCGTATGACCTCGTCACCACGACCACTTCCTGACCTCGTCACCACGACCACTTCCTGACCTCGTCACCACGACCACTTCCTGACCTCATCATCACGACCACTTCCTGGCCTCGTCACTACGACCACTTCCTGACCTCGTCACCACGACCACTTCCTGACCTCGTCACCACGACCACTTCCTCAACTCGTCACCACGACCACTTCCTGGCCTCGTCACTACGACCACTTCCTGACCTCGTCACCACGACCACTTCCTCAACTCGTCACTACGACCACTTATTTCCACCGGCTCTCTAATTTAACATACAATAATAATAAGTTTATTTAACATACAATAATAAGTACCTACCCACTTATTTCCACCTATTCCCTAATTTAACATACAATACTAACAAGTTGCTCTCCCACTTATTTCTCAATTTATTTCCGTCTCCCCTCGCGCAATTTCTTTCATTTATCTATATGCATTAATAGCAGCGGGCTTTCCTGAAATGTTTATATATTACCGACGCGTTGTCATTTGTCCTAATTGCGGGAACCGTTTATTTCAACTAGATTGAAATTCGACGGAAATGTTCCATATTTTGAGTCTCAATAATTAATGCAATTGTTGTAGTAAGAGCAGGGGAAACATGTTGCGTTGTTCGTTGCCATCGCGCTGCTTGAGACCAGACCTCGCTCGAGGGCATGTTTTTGCGGATAGTCTCATGTTTTACTTGGTGTTCATTAAAAGCAGTTGGTTTTCCTTGCAATTTAGAAAGTAAAGCTTTTCTGACTAGTCTTGTGTCTGGTTTTCAATCTATAGTATATTTGTAGTCACGATGCTCAACCGTCAAACTATTGACACGAACTTAAATAAAAAATTACGAAGTTTGCGTCATTTCGAACAAATTTTGTCGTTCAATAAGCAAGTATACGTGTTCTATTGAGACATTTTGATGATGGCATTTTCGTGCATAAATGACGTGTTTATATGAAGAATGTAAGTGATTTTCGTGTATAATTGAAGTGTTTAAAAGAAGAATGTAAGTGTGTTAAGTGTACCGCATGATATTGGCACGGCGAGCGCTAGGTGGCCAAGTAGCATTGGCAGCAAGCAGCTTTGGCACCGTCCATCCTGATGGTATAGGCAGCGAAGTCTTGAGTCTGCCGCTAGTGGTGCATGGTTGGTGCTGGTGGTGGTGGTTGCAGTGCTGCTCGCACTCTCTTCCTGTCTCTCTATCTCCTCACTCTTTATTCAGCCCAAGACTCTCATTCCAAAACTTGCTATCACGAACTCATCGAAACGTGCTCCGGGATATGATGAGAGAGACGGAAGAAAAAGATCATCAGTGCTGAAAAAACGAGAAGAGTTCAAGCTTGTGGAGTGTACATGCGTTAAGGTGTGGGTGACGCGAGTAGAAGCTGTCAACCTCGTATAACTCACCTCTTTCTAGAACTCTGTGAATGACCAGAGCCGTTGAAAAAGTTTTGTTTTGTTAATCGTGCTTTACATCAACAATGACCGTTGACTCCTTCCGTTTTGCGATTGAGAAAAGCCTTGCAAAGTTTGCACTATCAAGTCTGATATTTTCTACAACGACGATGCTTACTCTGAAATGCTCGTGAGATGCAAAGCTCCTCGCCGTGAATTGAGTCAACATTTGTCTTGCACTGAGCGAGATGTGACCGACTACTCTATCATCTCGCTATAGGAAATTATGACATTCCTTTACTGTACGCGTTCTTTATTGGAAACATTAATTAATTGATTAATTGCTCTGCTGCCGCCTACAACTGAGCAAAATTGCAGTGCATCTACGTTGGACGAGCTCTGTGATATTGCAGTAATAATGTGCCTATTGTGGGTCCAAACCAGCCTATAAATTTGTTCGGTTGATAATAATGCTCATATGACGCTCTTGCGTCGACCATATTTGATTTGCGTATCTCCATATTTGATTGTTTCTACATCAAAAGAGTGGAACTTCTCGTGCTATTAGCCTTGAATATCAGGCTTCAAGCTAATCTCTTGTCTACTTCTCAATTTCCGAGACTCTAACTGTGGTACAATGTTAACAGAAAACTGAATATTATTCAATGGTAGACTTTGATTTTCTGTTTATTTTATGGGTCCAATCACTAATGCTACTTGGTGTTCGTTGTTGATAGTTGTATTGCTGTTGTCACTGATGTATTGCTCATAAACGTTCCCATTCGACCAAGTTTGATAGCAGTCTTAGTACTAATCATATGCCGACGCTCAACTTGACAATTAGGCCCGGCATCGACAACTGTGAGAATTTCGACCAAGTGCTTTTGATCGCCTCAGTTTGGACCAATTGTCGTTTGTCACTTTGTTGACGTTGACCAAGTAATGTTAAGCTTCATTTATCACTGCGTGACACTGCCTTTAATTTAGCAATTGTGTTTCACTGTCATATTTGCTCCATAAGAAGTAAGTCTACGAACTTGGAATCTCTCTTACTATGGACATGAATAATTTACGGGAAATTGAGACGTGCTCAATCTCTGTTAAAAAATATCGCGTGTAAAATTTGGTATACAACTGAAATGGATGAAAAATGTGTTCAGATTCATTTGAACGTGGGTAATGCAGCATTGCCTATCAGTAGGGATGTTGACTCGAATCGTTTAACGGACAGCAATTGAAGTGGCATTTCGAATACCTCGTTTCTTTTCACCATGATGGGTGCATAGAGATGCTTTAGTGTATATTTACCTTGAAACTTTGAATGACTGTTTTGGATTTGTGATTATTACGTGTCGGCACGTAAAACAGAAATTGCATGCCAAAGAACAAATGTGCATCCAGAAGATCGAGGTTAAGTGTGGAGGGTGACAGTGGTATTATCGACACGAAGTTTTGCCGCGATAAATTTACGTTTACAAATCGAAATACGGCATTGGCGACGGCGGGGACGGTGCAGCAGGAGGTGTCACAGACAGTCGTGGTCCCCCAGCAAGATGTTGATGGAGGACCGCCACCTTCAGGAGCTCCACGATGTCTGTGAGTCTCGTTGCTGCTCGACCCAGCGTTGCTCTCAGCAACAGCGGAGTCACGCAAGGTCCTCGCCTCCTGCCTGTCGGATCTGCAGACCAAAATCCACTGCCATTTATATCCATTGGACAGAAGCCACCGCCTCGTATCACGGTGGATCAGAAGCCGCGACCTGTCGTTGGTGCGGAGCAAAAGCCGCGAGCAATAATTTCGTCGGATCTAAAGCCCCAGAGTTCGTTAAGCGAGCAGAAGCCACGCCGCCTTACATCAGACCACAAGCTGCCGTCTGTCGCAAACCCGCGCCTTCTTTTATCAATAGACCAGAAGCCAGCCACCCCAATAGACCTGAAACCCAGGCACCTCGCCCCTATAGAAGCAAACCCACAAGACTTGCCGCCTCTGGAAGGGAGCTGTGCGAACGGCTTTGACCGGACCCCTTCTACGGCTCCACCGTCCGTCTCGTCCCCGATATCGCGAGCAACCCAAGCTCGTAGCGTCCCTTGCTGTCCCTGTGGACCAGGTATAACCTACCGGACACCTGACGTTGAAATCAGGTTGATAGGACGATATTTCAATTAACTCGATTCGTAATCAAGGTTGATTCAACATCATTGTATTACATCATCATCACTGATGTTATTGTTCGGATAGTTCGGCATTATGTTCATATAAGTTACATCACGCAAAACTTTGTTACACTGAGGATAAGCTTTACCTACATCAGTTGGCTAACTAGGAAGCTTTATGTTAAATATTTAAATGAGTAAATTTTGAATATTTCACTAGGCTTGTATTGATCGCTAATTTCCTCGAAACGTTAATTTTAAGAGTTCTGCAAGCTTAAACGTGAGACCATTCTCGATGCTTTTTAATGAAGGAAATTACTTCGTTATATCCGAGCATGCTCTTCACTCTACCATAACTTGCGCTTATCGCCTGAATGCCACAATCCTGTTTAGTATTGTTTGTTTAAGTCTACGGTCTTTGCTCCGCAGATTTGATTAACTTTTTCAAGCTTTCATGAACACTAGCTGCTATTACTTCAAAAATTAATTACGCTTCCACATGAACACATTTACTGCCGCTTATTGAATTAATTCTCAATGCAGAACTTGTGACTGTTAGACGTTATCTATGCCAATTCACTAATTACGAATGTTTTTATGGCGCCTGCGTTTGCTAATTGATAATAACACTGCTGCTCTACTTGGGTCTCGGTGGTGCAGGGCAGTTGTGGGGTCAAGTTGTTGTGTAGGCAGGGCAGTTGTGGGGTCAAGTTGTTGTGCGAGAAGGCAGTTTTAGCATAATTTTATTTAATAATTTTTTATTCCTTTCTGCAAGCAGCTAATATCTAGGGTGAATGTCATGTCCTGTCAAACAAAAAAGTAACAAAATTGATTGTGTGATCGTTTTGTGACTGTTCACTTATCAAAATTATTTGTTTGATATATTGAAGGAGTGCATTCTGACGATGACAATAAAAAAAATCAAAATGCTATCCATATAAATTTTTCACTTCTTTTTTCACTCTGATGCTAAGCCGTTATGAGGCATCAATATAAGTTAATGCCACAATATATTATGTTTATTTAAGCTAATGCATCAAAATTACATGTTAATTAAAGTTACTGCCTAATAATATTTTCTAGTTACTGCTATAATGTCATGTTAATGCCGACTTTCAACGCAGGTTGCAGCAGTCGCGTGGTGCGCGTCAGGGCGGGCGCAGACGAGCTCTTCTGGCCACTGCAGCTGGACTCTGACCTCCTCAACACCATCGCCCAGCACTTCCCCAGCTGGTTCATGGTAAGTGAACCACTTCCCCAGCTGGTTCATGGTAAGTGAACCACTTCCCCAGCTGGTTCATGGTGAGTGAACCACTTCCCCAGCTGGTTTTCCGCAAAAAAAAATTACCCTATTACCAGCGTCGGCGGAAGGAATGGATTTAATTTTAAAAAATGAAGTAGAAGAGAAGTTTTATCAGTAAAATTAGTAAATTTTCAAAGAAAATATTTTTATTATTGAATGTTTGTCATTACAGGATTGTAAGGAACAGCTGCTGAGCGCCATGAGCAGCAGCAGCAGCAGTGGTGGGGGGAAGGGGAGTAGCGAGGGGGCTTTTATCCCCCTGTCCCCTCCAAAATGTGAGGTGGACGACTCCCCACTACATGGAAAAGTCCTCAATAAAAACAAGGAGTGTGAGTGAAATTTTAAATTAGTGTAATTATTTGAATTAAGCTTTATATAACGTAAGATCAAAGAGGGTGAGTGAAATTTAAGATAAAATTTATTAAAACATAAGATTTAAGTTCATTGTGTTCAAGTTTAAGTTCACTGCAAGGATGTAAAACAACTTACTACTGCATATTCCGAAATCATTTAGGGAAAAATAAATAAATTGGTAATTCTGTCTCATAAGCAGAGAGCAATAGCAATATGATAGCGTACAAGCAGTGCAGTTCTTCTGAGATGCCCAAAAAAATACTCGTATTTAAAACCTGATCCATTTTGTCAATTGAGAACAATTGAATTGAAAAAAGCATTAATTATAATGGTGATAGTGACAGCAATACCACTAGTTGTGGTGGTGGTAGTGACAGCAATACCACTAGTTGTAGTCGCTATTTATACATTATGTATGTGATTTTAACCAGGTTAGTAAGAATAAATGAAGTCTAAGTTTAGCTCATAATGTTTTGTCTTGAAGTTGTTGTTCGCTATCACGCTTCCTGTGAAGATAATGTGGCATACGCGAGCTACGGTACTGACGCATTACTGCACAAACAGTACGCTACTGCACTAGCAGCACACTACTGCACTAGCAGTTCACTACTGCACCAACAGTTCACTACTGCACTAGCAGCACACTACTGCACAAGCAGTTCACTACTGCACCAACAATTCATTATTGCACCAACAGCTCACTACTGCACTAGCAGCTCACTTTTGCACCAGCAGTACACTACTGCACTAGCTCAAGTGAAAAACTGATTTTATTATTGCAGTTTTTTTCTTACTGAAATATCGTTTGATATTAGCAACGCCATTTCACTGCGCCGTGATAATTTTACTGAAGTTAATGATTTCAATGGAAAGTATTCAATGTTACGACTCAGAACGCCTCAGTGATGCCATTAGTAGTGTATTCATATCAAGTAGATACCGCATATTGACATAAATTGATACAGATAAGTTCCTAGTGCATTTAATAGATTTGTGGAGTGAATACTTTCACCGGGAGTTCTTTATTGATGGCACAAAACTCTTGGGCTTCCAACAGATATAAATAAGGCTAGGAAAATATGTTAATGAAGTGCATTGGTTTTCTTGTGCATTGGTTTCCTTTGTCAACAGGTCTTAGAAAAGATGTTTATATGAAGTTCATTGGGTTTCTCGTTCCTAAGACATGAGCCCTAGATTTTCGATAAGTCCTAGTTAAGATGCTCATTAAGTTGAATGGGTATATGGACCCTACAGATTAAGCCCTAGATTGTCAATAAGTCCTAGTTAAGATGCTCATTAAGTTGAATGGGTATATGGACCCTACAGATTAAGCCCTAGACCGTCAATAAGTCCTAGTTAAGATGCTCATTAAGGTTAAGGGGGCTCAGCACCCCAGATTTTGTAATCACGGAGGCTCGATGCCGCGAGAGCTTGAGCGCCCCAAAGCGGTTCTCAGAGGTGCGTGTTCTTATTTGCTATTAAAACCTTGATATTATACGTTGATATTCCTTAAAAATATATTAATACACAACACTCAATATTTGATGTCTCTTTGTTGTCTTAAATTTGTCTTAAATTTTAATTGGGCAAGCTTTTGTGGCTATTTTGGTTTTTGGCAAAAACAAAACATTTCTTGGCAGGCTATAGCAACAAAATATTCGATCAGCTTAACTTTATTAGGTTTTTTATATTGTAGGTAGTGATAAATTAGACACTTATGTTCTTACAAAATATTTAGGTTCATCCTCTCGAAAATTGAATTTTTTTCTGTATAAAAGCGTGTTTTTTTTCTTCAATACTTTGTTCTCGGTCTATTAGCTTTGTAAATGTTTTTGTGATGAGTTTGAGGATTCATTTTCTTGTTTATTTATATCTTTTATTTGTTTATTAATTTTTTGGTGACGTTATTGTGTGTTTTACAGCGCTGAAGGTGAAGCTCATGCTACGGCGTCCTCGGGAAGACCTGGTCAGCAGAGGCGTCATACCACGTGAGTTGTTATTGACTTATTTATTATTGCATTATTTATTATTAACTTACTTTTATTATTGACTTGTTTATTCTTGCGGTATTCATGATTTACAGTGTTGCCGACTATTCTATACCTATATGACCATTAAAGGTACATTCATCACCGTGTACAAATGTGTGGTGTTTAAATAGACAAATTATTCGTGAATGAATTTAATATATTGAGGTGGAGCTTTTCTTTTGTAAAATATTATTATGATTGAGCTTGGCTCATATGACTAGCTAAAATGTAATACATATTATTAATAAATATGTCTTTAGACAGTGCTACCGTATATTTCTTGCAAAAGTCACTTGATCAAAAGTACCTACCCTTCATTCATGAAAAATATATATAAGTATACCTGCCACGTGTCACTGAGCAGCAATCATCTTTTCAATATGATAATAATTATCAATAATTTTAATATTATGCCACAGTAAGCTTTCAATTCCTGCCACCTGCCCTCTACTCCCTCCCATTTTAGTTACTACCCCTTAATAAGTAGTTACCTTTATTGGATAATTTACCCCCTCTTGGGTTGTCAGTCACTGCTGCTGTGCAGTGGCAAGAGCTACAGCTTACAACGTGTTACTGTGCCATGTAGCCACCGATATAATTAACCTGTAACGTGTGACTGCATGTATATAATTAACATGTTACCGTGTGCAAGTAATTAACGTTTACCATGTTACCGTGCAGCGATGAACACTCCCGCCGCGTTCTACGAGCAGCGGCAGCGGCTGGACATGGCCAAGAAGCACGACATCCTCAAGCATAAGATGCAGAAGCGACCTGACCGTGAGGAGCTCGTGCGCCAGCATATTCTCGAAGGTGGGTCAAACATGTCCATGAAGGTGGGTCAAACATGTCCACGAAGGTGGGTCAAGGCTTGCTGCAGTGGGTTAAGATTTGTTGTTTAAGGTGGGTCAATGCCTGTTGTGTAAGGTGGGTCAATGCCTGTTGTGTAAGGTGGGTCAATGCCTGTTATGTAAGGTGGGTCAATGCCTGTTATGTAAGGTGGGTCAATGCCTGTTATGTAAGGTGGGTCAATGCCTTTTATGGAAGGTGGGTCAATGCCTGTTATGGAAGGTGGGTCAATGCCTGTTATGACAATGCCTGTTATGTAATGTGGGCCAATGCCTGTTATGTAAGGTGGGTCAAGGCCTGTTGTGCCGGGTGGGTCAAAGACTCAAAGCTTGCTGTGTATGGTGGGTCAAGGCTTAATCGGCATTTCCTCTTTATTAATATTATTTATTTATTCCTCTTCATATTTATTATTTCCCTCTTCTATGAAAGTACAGCGACCGAAATAGTAAGGCAAGGTAAAGCTAGCAGGAAGCGTTGAGCCGAAAATTACAATATGATTTGAATTGGTAGCATTAGTAGTAATGGACTTAATTAAAATGTACTTAATTGACATCAAAGTGGAAAACGGAAGATAGGTATGTATATTATCTTCACATGAGATAATTTGACATCAAGCATGCGCACAGTTGATGATGCATCTTTTGTCTTGCAGATTCCCCTGGTAACATCGACAGGTCGCTGGTAGAGAAGCAAAAGCAGCTGAAGCGAGCTCGTATCGCGGATACCATCAGCGACCACCTCTGCCAACGGCCTGGTCCTTTGGAGCTTGTCAAGGCGAACATCCTGCATACTGATCATGAGGTCGAGAAAGCTGTCAAAGGTGAGCTCTTCAAACCACTAACTGATCACGAGGTCGAGAAAGCTGTCAAAGGTGAGCTCTTCAAACCACTAACTGATCACGAGGTCGAGAAAGCTGTCAAAGGTGAGCCCTTCAAACCACTAACTGATCACGAGGTCGAGAATGCTGTCAAAGGTGAGCCCTTCGAACCACTAACTGATCACGAGGCCGAGAATGCTGTCAAAGGTGAGCTTCTTAAACCACTACATGATCAATGATTACGAGAAAGCTGTCAAAAGTGAGCTTTTAAAGCACCCTAAGAATTAAGTGATTGTTGATCAATACAAAATGATTTCGTTCATTTACTACAGCATTTCAAGAAAAGAATCAACTAATTTTTTAGTTTGTCTTTCTTCAATTCTTTACTAAAGCAAGTTGTATAATGATCCTCATAATTTTAAGTTGTTTCGATAATTTCTGTTGAAAACCAAGTGGACGCACATGAACCAAATATTTTTTGATGTTGGTGGTTCTTCTAAAGTCTCGTTTTGAACGTACGGTACTTAACGAGTAAGATTATGTTTAATAGGGGGGTCATGTATTGTATGATGACAATATCACGATTCATATATTATTTGAGCAGAAGGACAGTTGACGTTCAAGGCAACTTGTGAAGGAGAACCTCGCAAGCATCCAAGCCTTTACCTTGACATTGGGGGAGACGAGTCTAGCAGTGAAGGCAACATGTCTCCAGAGTCTGCCAGCAACTCAAGACAACCTGGCAGTGAAGGTAACACGTCGCCAGGGTCTGTCAGTCACACAAGATCGCCTGGCAACGAAAGCAGCACATCACATGAACAGATTACCTCTGGGGACATGAGCAGCACTGCTGCTGTGCTGGTGCAGCATGTGCTGAGACCTGGCAATGTGCTCCAGGGACCACTTAAGAGCGTGCCTGTACAGCTGCAGCTGGATAGCAGTTGTAAATCACTACCGGCACCGACAGGAGCTCTAACCATCGTCAGCTCGTCAGGAGTATTGCTGCCGAGCCCAGCGTTACTCATCAACAGATCTGTCACATCACTGATCGCCACTCTTGCGCCTTCGTCTTCTACATTAACTTCCTCGTCATCTTCATCAATTCCTACTTTGTGCACGCCTCTTTTTAGCAAAAACGACATTCTTGTGGCTGCCTCTTCTCTATCCGCGTCCTCGACGTCTTCCATGTCTCCTCATTCTTCACTCACCTCACCAATTGCGGTCACTTCAGTTCTCCCTGACTCATCTTTAGCTACCGGAATCGGTGTCGTTCCAGGGACGACATCAATCAGTTTAGCTTCTTCTTCCGCTTTGCCAACAACGCTGTTGCTACCTCGAACGCTACCGGCGTCGCTACAAACGCCTCCGCTGCAGAGCTGCGCTCCAGGCAAAGACAATGCCAAGTACAACCGCAAAAAGAGCAAGTGCAGAAGTGCTCCTAAAGCGCGGACCATCAAATTCCACGAGTATAAGGCGAGTTCAGTAATTGTTGATGTTCTGAAAATTTAAATTTGCAGTAAACCCACCTATATGTGTTTTTCAGTCAACGTCACTGTTTGAATTTGCGATTTCGTGTGGTACACGTTGAGCTATTGAAATTAATTAGTATTATCACTGATTCAATATTGTGTGCAGAAGTATAATCTGTTGTGGATTACTTCTCTTCTATAATTAAATTACTTGAAATTAATCCTTGAGTTGCTTGTAATAATAGTATAATTTTATCAGCTTGTTCGAATGTCTTCTCTAAATTTATGGTTGGTGGCAGGGCCCTCCTGGCGCTGTTAAGAGGGGCGACCAGAGCTCCTCCGCTGAGACCTCCTACGACATCCTCCTGCAGCAGCAGCAGCTCTTCCTGCAGTGCCAGCTGCAGCTCAAGCAGAAGGTCTGCAAGTGTACCAGGCTAACATAGATCAAAATTTATTTACCATTTTCTGACAGTGTTTACAAAAACTTATACATCTGCTACTCTTTTCCTCATTGGTGAAGAGGAGACAAAAAATAAATGTAAATAAATTCGGCCTTGTCTCAGGCCGAATAAATTTGTCTCCACTGTGAAAGTGATAGGTTGATTAAGACATGTATAACATGAATGTATAGCAAGAACGTATAAACGTATTTTTCTTCTATGATTTGCTTTGAATGAAAGCTGAAGTCCTGCGGCATCTTCAATACCTACATGAGAATAAATCTGTATTTGTTTACTTTTCCTTCATAATTAGACTTACGATGCTAATTTTCAAAACAATTATTATGGCATTTTTTCTTGGTCACTTCCATGCCAGCATTTCATCACTAATCTACTGCAATTGTTCAGTACCCACAGATGATTTTACCGGCGCGACTGAAGCCATCTTCGTCACCGTCATCGTCCAGCTCGCCGTCGTCCTCCTATTATTCCCCTTCTCCTTGTTCCTCTTCTGTTTCTGACGTGAAACTCTCCAATTCCCTCGCCTCCATTTCCCCTTCCCAAACTTTCTGGTCTTCCACGGCAAAGTCCCCTTCTTCCACACCGGTTCCCCTTGCTCCTGCACCGCCACCCCCGCCCCCTCCTCCGCCTCCCTCTAAGATTTCCCCTCTTGGGGGGTCTAGAGTCCCACCTCCACCGCCTCTTCCTCCAGCCCCACGAAATTCACCCCCAGGGCTTTCTAAACTTCAGGATATGAAAGGTAGAGTGAGAATATAATTTTTAGTCATTAGTGTTCTTGCTAACATTACTTGATTCATCCTCATTAACGAGAATGTCTTCAATTTTTCTATATTTCGGCTCATTTTTGTATGACATTGATTTTGTGATTGTATTTTCAGCATAATTATGTTTATTTTTACATTTGACACATTCTAAGGATTTTTCTAGATTATGAATGTTCCCAGAAAAACTATGACTTTACCGAGATCTTATAACTGTACTTAAGTTATAGATAAGTATGATATGAACGCTCTCTGAAAATTCCAGTGTCGGATCTCAAAACGCTGCTGAAGCAACACAGCCTCCCTGTTTCTGGGTCCAAGCCTCAGCTGCTGCTGCGGTTGCGGCAGCACGACTTCCTCCTCGACGAACGAGTCTTAACAAATCCTGCCAGTGTACTTCAGTCAGCTCTTATTAACTCCTCCAAGGAGAAATCAAATTACTCCAGTGGCTCCAGTACTCCAGTGAGAACTCAGGAGCAGGTTTCCAACGACAGCAGCCAACTTGGGAGTTCAAGCAATGAAAGCAATAACGAAAATAATAACATGACCAGCAGCACTGCCGTACCAAATATAATCGATCCAATGTTTAGAGACCCGAGTGATCGGACGGAGCCGACGTTGTCCCCTGGTAGTCGACCTGCAAATGTCGGCACAACTTTGTCGCTATTGCCACTGTGTAACGGCAGTGTAGTTTTGACCAAAATGGCACCGTCAAACGGCGATGTCAGTAGCATTGCAATAGTATCAGGACCAAATGAATTTCCGTCCAGAACCCAAACTCCTTTATTATCAGTGGGCCAAGTTCGCTCAACGCCTACAGTCAACTTTGCGAGTCCCGGCATTTTGGCCCTCAGGACGCCCGCACCCAACGTCGTGCGTCTCGCCAGCGTTACTGAATCCTCTCAGTCGATGTCTTTAGCTCCCAGCCCAAGACCTACAATTAGTCTTCCCGTTACTCCAGTTAGTTTCAGCAATGTTCCTGTGAGCTCGGTGTTCACTTGTGTCTCCTCTGCATCATTTTCTTCAACATCCAAATCTGATGTAGGGGTCGCAAGCAGCGAAAAAGGTTATAGCCTTCAGTTAGGCAACGATGGTAGCCGTGAATCTAATTCTGTGGAAGCTTCCACTGTTGCCACTTCATCCACCGTAACTCTAAGTAATATTTTATCTAGTGCCGTCAGCAGTATTGCTGACATTGATGGTACCAACACTGCCAATGATATCCTAAATAGTTTTTTGATAGACGAGAGCTCGTCTTCCTTGTCGTTGCTACCTTCGTTCGAATGTCCTTCTGCGTCTCTACCTCTCACATCACCATCCTATAAAGCCGACTCTTCAATGAGCAATTCTAGTAATTTTATTGAGACCGAAATCAATAAAACCAACTCCCTTGACAACGCTAGTACCAGATATAGCTTTAACGAAGGAGTGTGTGACATATCTCCTGCCAGCACTCCGGCTTCAGTGGGCGAAGTGTCGAACACTTTTCGAGAGCGTCATTCACTTCCTGTCACTCCTGCTGCAATGGAAGTAGATCTGGAGCTTCTCGAACCAAGACAGTCTCCTTTCTCTCCGATATCCTCTGCCTCTACTAGAGATTTTATGGAGCAAAGCGATTCCATCAATACTCCACCACATACCATTCATGATCCGTCTGAGACTCGACCCCCTCCTCCCCCACCTCCACCTCCTCCACGACCACCTCAGAGCAACGAAAAAGTGGGGCATTTACAAAAACGTATTCTTGACTTGCAAATGGAGCTCAAGAAAGCCCAGCAACAGTTACGTCAGCAACAGTTCGGGGATATGCTTCAACAACGCCGAAAACCACAAACTGTTACGCATGAGCCACGTCAAGAGTTAGGATCTTCTCTACAGCCGCAACGACAGATTGAATCTTTAGAACCAATTCAAATGATTACCTCGCATCCAACACAAATTATTTTACCTAAGCCTGTGATACAAATGATCACACAAGAACCAGATGCGCAAATATCTCCACGAAAACCACGGCAGCAAGTAGTTTCACAAGTAGCGATGCAGCAAATGGTATCCCAAGAACCAGGGCAGCGCATAGTGTCACATGAACCACGGCAGCAAATGATTCCACAAGAACGACGTCATCAAATAGTTTCACTAGAATCCCGTCAAGACATGATTGCCCGGGGACCACGCCAGCAGATTGTTTCGCAAGAAACATTGCAGCAGTTGCTTTCTCAAGAACCGATCCAGCAACTCGCATCTGAAGAACCACAGCAAGAGTTATCACAAGTTCCTCAAGCCCGCATGCAGTCCCATAACTCTCTTGGTGTGCCGCATGACCCTAAAAGCAGCGAGATCTTCGTGCTGCATGTTGATGGCGGTCAGCAGGCTATGGATCTGGGCAGTAAACATGACACCGACGAGATTTATGACCCGTCACTTACGAGTTATCCCTCGTTTTCGATTGGGGCGGCCTGTCCAAACGATACTTGGAGCAATCATACAATAAGGAGCTCTGCGTCTGGAGTGTCGTCCCAAGTTTGTTCTGTGTCAACTGCTGCCGGACATCAAAGGTGAAATTTTTTATCTGAATTTATAAATTACTAATATATCAAGCAAGATCGTGTACATGCCTGTGTTACTCATGTAGATATTAGAAACCTAATTCTGGGCCACCACATGATGGGTTGCAGCATTTATGCGTAATTTTTTTCCTTCCTTTACAGAACATCATCCCTGCCAAATTTCACTGATGCTACGAACATCAATGGACCAAAAGATGGGATCTTCGTTGTGAACTCTCATCAGTTGCCTTCCACTTCCAAGCATTCTTCAGTCCAGCGAAGCGACTTAAGACGCCATCGCCAACTGGCAGCTCCAGATCGTTCTTCCGTTCACGCTGTCGCGGTGTCCAATGTTTATAACGTCCGATCTTCATCTTCAGCAAACTCCACGCCGTGGCCAGCATCTATATCGAGCAACTCAACCCTGAGGCCCGCGTCTGTAGCGTGTATGACCACTGCACTGCCGCACAATGGCAGCGGTCAGCAACAGCAGCAGCAATTGTTGCATAATAACCAAAGATTAAATGCCGCGCTGCAACCCGTAGATACTTATATTAATTCGTCCAAATTCATTTCTCAAGTGAGTACTGTATGCTGTTACATGTCCACAACTGGCAATTTATTTATAATTCTTTTAATTGAGAGTGACCTAATCTGAAACGCAAAATGTTATCTTCAAGTTTCGTAATTAATGCCAAAATTCGTTCACACACCTCATTAGTTTGCTTAGTTAACATAGAAGTTGAAGTAAAAAAATATTTTAGATATCATATATTCTTAGTTGTCTTTGCTTTTATTTTATTGAAAATTAATTTTTGTTTTGAGTGCATTTTCGAGCTCCATCAGGTGTTCAAGATACACGAATGAGCTGTACAATGTACATTCGTACCATAGAGCTGGTTCACAATCTTCATCCTTTGTAAAAATATTTGTAATATAATTTAAGTTATCATTATATTATATAGTTGCATTTGATTGCTAATCTTTTCATTAACAACAGAACGATGCCAGCAACAGCAGACAGGGTGTGGGTTCACAGTCGCAACTTTGCAGGGAATCTTTAAATTTCTCTAGCCATCAGTTCGACGATGTACTTCGAATTCTTGTTAAAAACGGAGGTAAGTTAACTCAACACTTCATCCAAAACGAAAAATCGAAATAATATAACTCAGTATTCACTGCAGTGAGTGACAGAGAGCGCATTTTCTCGTCGAGGAAAACGTGAAGTCACGGACGGCCGGACATGAGCACAATAGCACTTTTTTCCTTAAATGAGAAAATGCGCTAAGAATCATTTTAATGTTTCGATTCGAAAAAAAATAACATTACGTTTCAACTTTTAATCAAAATACAATCCTTTGCTATGCTTCACATGTGGATGACTAAGGATGACTAAGTGTTGACTAAGGATCTTCGAGTTAATACTTATATTGCCACACTCAGAACAGTTTTGAATCTAGGGGATTGTAGCGTGTGACAAATTTGTCGTGCGCCGCTATAAAAGTCGTGTGAATTTCTTGTAGCCTTTTATTCGGGACGCAATTACACTTAATTGTGTTCGAATATTTTGTATTATTCTTCTTGGCTGACTGTTTGTTCTCATGCTATATTGAAGTAATTATTAGTATTTCAGCCAAAGGCGCGTCGTAAAATTTTGCTTTTGGAGTGCAGTCGCAAATCCAACGGTCGTTAATAAACTAAAAAATCATTGAAAGAAATTGTGCATTCCTTCAGAATTTTAATGCTGATTCATGATTCATGTGGTTAATTAATACTGGGATTATGGTTTCGCTTCTAAAATCAGGTATGAAATCTGTAGCCATCTCCGCAAACAATTGATATGTCATGAATTTTTGACATATCAATTGACATTTTTAGCAAGTACATGAATGTACTTGCTTGAAATTTCTAGTCATCCTACCTGCCTCTACCATAATCTTGTGATGTTCCAGAGCTGCCAGCGAGTGTGGTGGACGATACGAGCCTCGACATATCGACCATATCGCGGCTCACGGTCCCTTCGTCAAGACCTCCCCCACCCCCGCCTCCACCACCGCCTTCTTATGCCACCGTTCAGACTCGTCTTCCGCCCCCTCCACCACCGCCACCTCCTTATTCATCGGCGTCTTCCATGGTTCCTATCTCTTGTTCCTACGCTTGCTTACCACCGCCACCTCCTTATTCTTCTTTGCCTTCAATTCCTCCTCCACCGCCTCTACCGCCTTCAAGATCTACTTTAAATGTAGGTTTATTAAACCAGTCGCAGTCTCACCAGTCACTGCCTTCTCCTTCCTTATTTGCTGATCTCATCATGGAAGGCAGTTCAACGCCAGGTTTGTGTTTAGACCTGGACTTGGACCTTCCGGGGCTCGAAAGTATGGAACTCGGTGAACCTCCTGAATTGGAACCCATGTGCAACGATCGAATGAATTTGCCTGCTTCTTCATGTGACCAAACTGAGCATAACTCGGTCCACCATCATCAGTTGTCCTCATTGAATGACGGATGTTCTTCTCAGATGGATATAAGTGACGATGTCGACACGTGGCTCGACAGCCTCGTGCCGGCTGCTGTCAATTCCTGGAGACAGTTGAACAGTGATTCTGATTGCTCCTCTCTTTTTCAGTCTGACTCTTCCATGGCTAATGGTAGTATAGAAAATTACAATACTCAAAATGGAAACTTGAGCCTCCAAAACTCTATGCCTCTTCGCAGAAACTCTACCGAGAGAAGAAGAGACAATCGCAGCGATCCTCTCCTTGGGAGCAATCCGGACTCTCTCCTTGGCAGCACAGTGGATTTGCTGCTAGATAGCAATCCAGATCCTATGTTAGGTAGTAGTTCAGAAGGCCTAGACTGGTCTAGCCTAGAAGAATTTGAATTGAAGGGTCATGATCATCACAATCATCAGAGTGATCGACCTCATCTGAGCGACGCGCTGCGAATTGTCCAGCATTATTACACTACATGACCCCATCCTCTTCGAGTATCCGTGTGGGCTATTTTGGGGCTTCTTCTAACATGAAACAAAGGAAATAATATAATTATCAGTTGTGATTCATACGTTTACAGGAAAATGTATAATCTACGTTATCAAGTGCACTATCACTCTAGATACAGCAACTATCAGTGCAAATCAAAACGTTTTTCCTCCTCTAAATGTTTGAGTAGAAAATATCTTTGCAGAAGTACAGAATTCATAGAATTGTTGTGATATGGACATGAGTTTTAGAGCGTCTCATGTCATCAAATAGTTTCACTAGAATCCCGTCAAGACATGATTGCCCGGGGATTGCCACCAGTGGCCGCTGAAATAAAAATATTGCATATTGTAATGTCCTTGGCTGATGTGAATTGATGCGATCGCACTGCGCAATGCTACTTTCATAGCCTAGACTGACCATAACTGTGAACCGTCCTGTTAAGTTGTACTATCATTATAATAATTTATGTACGTTATGTGTTGTTCATTTAAATGGGGGCCACTTGAACTTTATGAGGTAAGGCTTGCCTTGTTTCAAGCCTGCTGCCTTAATTCAACTTTTATATTATTTTATTCATTTCACTCCTGCCAATCTGTCTTTCCTTTTAACGATTTTCTTAACATTTTCTCCATGATTTCTCCTGCTTCTTTTGTTAGCCGTTACAAAGTCTGCACTAATTTGTTTGACTCTTACAATTACAATAAGTTGTATGACTCATGTCGTTAGCTTGTGTTCGCTCCGCTCTTGGCACTCAGTTAAAGCCAGATGTAAATGGCTATCAATGTTAATGGCAAGCCAAATCTCGGGCAAGATTTTTACCGACTTTGTATCCATTTTTGGCTGCTTGGTTATCATCGTTCATGCGCTCATGCACTGTTTCCCTGTATAATAAATTATGACTTCATGCATTAACATTTTCCCATAGAAGTAATCTACCAAGGACCATTCTTTAATAGCCTAAAAATGCTCGGACTTTTTCTTTTTGATATGGAATGTTTTCTTTATAAGAACTTGTCTTGCAGTGTACTTCTGTCTTGAAATCACTGAATTTTCTTACATCTAGTGATAATATTCTTCTGCTTTAACCTGACATTTAATTTATAAATTGTAAACAAATCGAATTATCATTCAAAAAGTCTCCATGTTGTACTGAATTGGTGTGTAGGATTTGTCACATCGTCTCATAACTCTATGAAACCACATAATTTCGTGTTCAATATCAAAGATTTATTGAGTTACCATTTGTTGGATTTTCGTATTTTTTGTTTGTTTATTTTATGTTGTCAACAAACCTGATTAGTAAATGTGAAATTTTGGAAGATGTTGAAATGTGATGTGAAAATCTAAGCGTCGGTGGCGCGAACATAGCATCGCATTGACACGCATGCCTGAATTGCTCTAGCCGCCGTGTATTCTTTTCATAACCTACTTTGACTTGTGTTATTTCCTTCAATCAAATATTGTAACTTTGGACTTATTATTCGTTCATTTCTCAATGTGCGTGAGGCATCTCGTTTTAAAATTTCATTCATTGACTTGTGTTCTGTAGCATGGCAACTTATAGGACGCACTAATGCACACGGCACGGATTGCTCATACGAAATTTCAATTTTTTGTAGTCTCACTCAGAATGAAAATATTCCAAACTTGTGGACCCTTTCATCTCGTACTTTAAGCATCAGTTATTGAGTTCTGATTTCAAGCTGCTCTTTGCGTCCAAATTTAAATTAATTGACTTCAGTACCTACTTTTTTGCTCAAAAATAGTTCTTATATTTATTTTTGTTGTCTGTTTTTTTCCGAAAAATGTCGTTCTTCTTTTGTAATGCTAGTCCTACCGCAATAGGAGATAAATCGAGCCTTTTCGTTCGGCTGCTGGTACATTCTAGCAGTAAATAACCCTAATTCTTTACGCAATTTGTTCATTTCTTTCAGTAGCTTAACAGATTTTATTTATGAAGTCTTACAAAAAATTTTACTGCGTCTTTTCATTCTTTGATGTTTACTGCGTCTTTCCATTCTTTGATGTTTACTGCGTCTTTCCATTCTTTGATGTTCACTGTGTCTTTCCATTCTTTGATGTTCACTGCGTCTTTCCATTCTTTGATGTTCACTGCGTCTTTCCATTCTTTGATGTTTACTGCGACTTTCCATTCTTTGATGTTTACTGCGTTTTTCCATTTTTGGATGTTTACTGCGTCTTTCCGTTATTTGATGTTTACTGCGTTTTTTTCCATTCTTTGATGTTTACTGCGTCTTTTCATTCATAAGTCGCCACTGCACTTAAATTACCCTGTTCAAATGAAAAGTCTGTAACTCTGGTTAAAAATACACTCATCCGTGTTAAAATGTATCGAAGAATTTTAATCATCGTTATCCGTTGCTGGAAAAAACTCCTTTAATTCTGCCGGTAAAAGGTATCGGTCTGTGCTGGAGCGGTGCGATACACGTTAGGTGGCGACTTGTGTAACACTGCCGGTAGTGAATCTTGATCGTTGTGATACCAACGCAGTTCATTAAAAGCTATACTATCTACCTGTATACTTTTTGAAAAGCTATCTTATCGGCGCAGCCTGTGTGCTTTTTGAAAAGCTATGTTATCGGCGCAGCCTGTATGTTTTTTTTGTCACCGAAGCTATCCAATTTCTTATCAAAGTTGTTCTCATCGTAACGCTGGTCTAGTCTGACCACCAGTTCACATGAGTTTCTGTTTTATTTTCTTTATTTATTTATGTGTCAGAGTGAGACTAAAGCAATGTTATATAAAACGGAAATTATATGTGATATCGCCTTATTCGAGTCATTGTGTAATATGATATTTATATTATACCATTATTCTTCTGATTGACCGAAAAATATAATATTGAACGGGTATTGTGCTAAAAATCCTCCGGGAGTGATCGAGTAATTCATTCATTTTGTTTTATTTTTAAGACTCTTTCTAAATATTAAAACTCGATTATCACTTGCTGCGAGACAAGTTTTGAACAGAACAATATTCTGGATAACTTGAGTTGGTCGATCGTAGGTATCTGGACTTGTTATTCATAAGAGTTCATCAGACGGCCTATGGAACAACAGAGTTCGACTTCCCGTAGCATTTATGAAACAAAGATAAAATTTCTAGATTTATTTATAGATGTTGATAAGGATTATGAAAATTGGGTAACTTCTTCGAGGAACCTTTTATCCTTCGTGATTACTCGTCTATACTTTTTTCATGCATTTTTGACGAAAAAATGTTATTTATTTGTTACTTTGATTCTGTACCGACAGTTATTCAATGTCATGATTTACCATTGAATTTATCTGTGGATTTGACACGAGTACATTTCGTTATAATTTGACGAGCAATATAGGCATATTTGCCGGCGTTTTCACCCATTTTCACTCATTTCAAATACTGCGTGCTCTTCATTTTGTTGGGAACAACTGCTCATCGTTCTGATCAACTCCGCTACGACAATGTTCAGTATTACGCTGCTCTTGAATACGCTACTTTTATTGATTTAATTAAGCGCTTATTTACGCTGATTATTATTATTATTATTTCGTTGTGCTAATCTGTGATCGTGCTCGGACACTGCTCCTAATACTATTAATTGCTTATCGGCGCTCAAATTTTCTGCTAAGGTGAAGCCTATCTATTAGACGTTAGTATGCATGCCTTAGCTTTCAAGTGTCGGGGCTCATTTTATACGATTTTTAATGCGTGTCTTGCTTGTTGTAGGACCATGTCTTCGTGTACATAAATGTTTACTTCTTCGTGGGCGAGGAAAGATGAAAGGAATATACTGATGTCGATTAGACTGCTTCATGTTTCTATGATACGGTATAAATGAATTGCATATAGGGACTAATGAGTACATTTGACATGTAATATCTATAAATTTATTTGCCATTCTGTGTTTTCTTATCTCTCATTTCAAATCTTATTAACGAACGGATACTCTTTCCTCACACTCACGCAATTGACGGCAATGAACCTCGCATAAGCATTTATTTATCAACACTGAACGACGCGTGTTGTAATGTTATTTATGCTTACAATGCAAGTAGTAGCTCCAGTGGTCAAAGTTCAGAGTACCAGGATTGGAGCAGAGAGGTGCGGGTTCAATCCCAGCTCTGTGCGCCAGTTTCTGGTCAGAATCGGCAAGCAGGCCGGGCGGTTAAAGCTAAGCTAATTTGAAGCAGTGAATTGCAAGTTCAAGCTCGCAATATGCTGTAGATGTTCTACAATGTTAAGAATCGGCGCCAGGCCTACGGCCTAATAAACGCTGAAACCGCTGTATTATTATTATTACATGTACTTCGCCTTCTCATCAATCTTGGAAACTTGAGAGTTCTTCCGGGCAGTAGAACTAAACTTCCTCGCTTTGAAGAGATAATTTGAATTTAATGCGCAGTTATAGTACCATCTCAAATTAAAACGTAACAGAACATAGTGATGTCGGCGCTTAGGGGTAGGTCTGATGTGGCCTTTCGACGATTCTTACTTTTCGTGACAATTTTGCCTAGTGGTAGCATTTTATTATTGTTAAAAAATTCGTTGAATTTTGCTGTAATCGCTACCAACATAGGCTTGAGATTTTCTGGCCCGACAAAAGTTTATCTTGCCGGAAACTTAAAGTAATAACCATGAGCACAAATTTTATATACCTTGCCGATAACCTGAATATGAGAAGATTAATCAAGTTGAATGGAAATTTAAAATTATATCTGCAATGGGATTTGTGCTTGGCGATGCACCAATTTTCAGGAACGAACTTTATTTTTTTTTCCGCTTTCAAATAAACAAATATAACTTCTTTTGGTTTGCTTAGAATAACAAAATACATTTATATGTAGAATATTCAGAAAATCTAAACTGCTTTGGTAGTAAGCAATAAAAGATCTAAGATTCAATTTGGAAAATGACTCCTTGCATTAATTCGACCGTTCGAGTTTTGAACGCATTTGATATTAGGTATTGTGAGTGACTTTGGTTCACTCGCCTATGACATGTGTCAATGATAATATTGAATATTATATTCTATAAACAATGTTGCCAGACTATAATATTTATTCAGCATTTATGATGATATGCAGGAATTGACTTTGGAAAACTGCCTGTGTTTGCCAAGACTTTCTACGTCTCTCTGTAGTCAATATAGTCTTCACAAAAGTTCCTTGTTCCAATAATATCTTACCCTCACGACGTGATGTTGATCTAATAAAGTATCTGACACGAATTATTTGGAACTTTTTTATGCGGAAAATTACAGTGCAGTTTGAGATGTGATATCTGACCGATCCTCATGATTGAAAGAAAACCTAAATTATTGTATAGATAACACTTAAGGAGATTTAGTTGTGCTGCAGTCAAACCATGTCTCGTCACGATGGTAAGTAAAATATCTCTTCGCAATTAATTGAAAATTTCATCGCTTCTAAGTAGGTAGACTCTTTTAATAGATTGAGCAAATTGTCCTGTATTTTCTTAAAATTTCCTGAATCCTGACTGTAAGTAAAAACTAAATTAAAATTTTTCCTGTTATAAAAAATTTTGGATATTAAATAACTTCTCAGTTTAAATTTATACAATAGTAATTTTAGACGATATAGGTACCTACTAAAAAGATTAAGGCTCATTCCAAATTCCAAGTCTTGATCTATCTCTAGAGTCTACACATCACACTAAAACTGAATTTATTTTTGCTTATTTATCATTTTAAACTTAACAAATTTCAGTGTTAGGTTTTATTGAACTAGGCTACTAGCTAGGCTATTGGAGATTAATTGCTCATCTTATCTTCTTATGGCACTGCTTATTTGTTGATGACAAACAACAGAATAATTTGTTGTCCTTCATCGAGTTCCTTCTGGAGTTTTATACCTAAGTAGACTGCTTACTGCTAAGTAATTATCATTGATACCAACATTATTGTACCTACTCAATGGAAATTGACAGGTTTGATCAAAAACTTTGCCATGCCCTAACAGGTCTCATAGTGTGGCACAAGAGTCATTGTAAAATTTATCGGTATTATTGCAGNTTTTTTAATCAAACAAAAATTTATGACATTCGAGCCGCGAGATTCCATACCTACTGAAATTATATGATATTAGAGCCGCGATATTTCAGACAAAAATAGGACTTTTCCAGACTAGGCCATGCCGCCATGGTGTTCACTCAATTGCTGTACAGGAACCTGGATATACTACCTACCTAGCACTAGCACTGCAGGATGGAATTCTAATATTGATGGTTCATATATTATTCCCGATACACCTACACCAGTTTTTCAATACCGTAAAATGGGGTAACTTAGACTACTTTTTTTTTTAATGATGCCATTTTTTTACTAGCTAAATTAAACTTGAATTGAAACATGCAAAATACAGGTCTATAGGGTAAAGTGACTGACAAACCAGAGAATTTATAGAATCAGTTCATTTTTAATTCCCTCATTTACTCATGATTTAAACCAATTTCTTATGTATGATATGTCTGGTATCCATGATACTTTACTGGTCTAGTTATAGGACTCAAACACGAACTTGAGGGAGAGTCTAAAAAAAGTCTTTGCTTTGCCACTATGTTTGCCACTATGGGGTAAACGCGGTATATTCCGACATCGTAGGTAATTCCGTCACCTCTCCAGCTTTTCCTTTATATTAAGCTTTGTTTTAGTTCCATGCGTTCATTGATGGTTGAAACTGTCTCTTATACACATCTTCGCATGTCATTTATAAGTCATTTATTAGCAAAAAAATTGTATAAACAAATTTCCCATTGATTAATATTAAAGCGTGTGATCTGACTTGCAACATAATGATACTTGTATAAATTTTTCCAGTGAGTTGAATATCATCAATGGAATATGCGCGTGTTACAAACGTCTCGAAAAAATTTGAGACCGTAAATGCTGCCGGTCTCACTGTAAATATCTAAATTCAGTGAGCAATTAATATCTCCCAAAGTAATGACCGTAGCTCAATGAAACTTGTACACGTATTCATTAGGACCT